AAAAGTCCACTAATTACAGAGATTTATGAACCTAAGTATAAATACTAACCATGCATGAAAGAAGCATAAACGAGGAAACAGTTAATAAAGCAATCCAATATTGTTTATCATATCGCAAGAACAATTACACCCATCTCTGCATTTGTTGCCAGGAAGAAGGCAGAATATCTTCTGATGCTAGGAATTCTAAAATATTTCTGTTATTAACGAGAGATTAAAAGATCCTCTTAGTATCATGTCCAGATTTTAAGAGTCCGCTGAACCTCCACCTTCTGCTGTGCAGGTGATGAACCTTCGAATCGGGGTAGGTAACTCATTAAAATATACACAAGATGCATTTTCAGCGTGGGGGAACAGAGGTTTGCACCAATCCTGTAACATGCCAAACAACTGCACCTATACTGTGTAATAGGATGACATTTTCCTGCTTCCCGGAGGTAGATTAGAGCTTATCCTTGTGAAAAGAACTTGATGTAGACCTTCCCGGATGAGACTAGAACGGTACTGTTTGTGTGTGTAAATGGGAAGGGGTGTGTGTGAATGAAGAAAAGAGGAATGGGTCTTTGTGCTCTGCTTTTAATTATTTGTACATAGCTCAAGCAGGTTTGATGTCACAGTAGCTAATTTCCTTGAAGTGCTGCTGTTTGTGACCTCGCACACAGGAGGTATGGAGGTACTGGGTTTTGTAACCGCTGTATGCTTTCCCAATTGTAAAACAAAGCAAATAAAAGCACAATATCAGGAAGTGCCAACTGGTTCCTCTCAGAACTGTTACCAATGCCTGGCGGCTGGTTGATATGACACCTCCTAGGTGCAAGAAGGCTCCAAGTGACTGTACTGGGGGCAAGAAGGCTCCAAGTGACAGTGGGTGTGAGGGGTCCCAACAACTGGCACTACCTCCTCCTGCACTGGCGGTTTCTGGGACTGAGCAGCAGAGAAAGAATCAAGGAACTTACGGCAACTTCCGTCCCTTTCTCGCTGCTGCTGAGAAAGCAGGTGACGCTGGAGGGAAGCAGGCAGGGGGAAGCGGGTTGTCTCTCCAGGTGTCGCTAAGGAAGCTAAAACCAGGTTCCTTTTCTCTGGCTCCCCCGATGACTCAGCCTGCTTCGGTGATGCGCCGCAGTGACCTTCTTTTCTTCTTTTCTCATGTTTTGGATCTCCCTTCAAGGAGAATCTGGCAATGCTTCCCCAACTGGTGCTAAAGGAAAGGAAGCTCTAAGCCAGAGGGTCCCCAGCGTGCTGCTTGTGGGCACCTTGGCCCCCATCAGCATCTTTTCCGGTGCCCACCAAGTGTTTTTAGATCGGGTGGGGCTTTTGGCCAGCAAGACTGCTGACGGGAGATTTGATAGGCCGTGCAGATTTTTTTAAAACGTCGCTTAGGCAGCGGCTGCCACCACAGCACAAGGCTCTTCACTGTGTGACTGAAAGCAAGCTGTGGCGGCTGTCTTGTGGCTGCACCCACCACACCATGCGCAAAATTACAAAGGGGCCCACAGGTATAAAAAGGTGGGGGGGTGCTGTGCTGTAAGCCACCATCCCTCCACTAAGAGCTGTCTTTACAGGAGTCTTTGGGGTCCGGTATCCCTACACCAGTCCAACACAAGCTGCTCAGTCTCCCAGTTTTGAAACCAGAGCTGGTTTGGAAGCGTGCCAGCTGAATGGGCACAGCAAAGAGGAGGAGATTGGATTTATACCCCGCCCTTCACTACACGGAGGAGTCTCAGAGCATCTTACAATCTCCTTTCCCTCCCCCTCCCCACAACAGACACCCTGTGAGGTAGCTGGGGCTGAGAGAGCTCTCCTAAGAACTGCTCTTCCCAGAACAGCTCTGAGAGAACTTGTGACTGACCCAAGGTTACACCAGCAGCTTTCCCTCCCCCTCCCCACAACAGACACCCTGTGAGGTAGCTGGGGCTGAGAGAGCTCTCCTAAGAACTGCTCTTCCCAGAACAGCTCTGAGAGAACTTGTGACTGACCCAAGGTTACACCAGCAGCTTTCCCTCCCCCCACCCACAACAGACACCCTGTGAGGTAGCTGGGGCTGAGAGAGCTCTCCTAAGAACTACTCTTTCCAGAACAGCTCTGAGAGAACTTGTGACTGACCCAAGGTTACACCAGCAGAGGAGTGGAGAATCAAGCCTGGTTCTCCCAGATTAGAGTCCGCCGCTCTTAATCACTACACCTTGTGTCAACCTCTGTAGCTCCTCTTGTTTCTCTCCAGTCATATTTTTACACATCACCTTGGATTTATTCTTATTTACATAAAAACCTGCTAAATCTCCAAACTCTTTTATTTTCTCCATTAGCAATGGTAAATTCCGTAAAGGTTCTTCCACCATAAACATTACATCATCTGCAAAAACTCTATATTTATAAGAAAAGCCTTTATTGGTTAAACCTTTGATTTCTCTGTCTTCCCTAATTTGTTTCAACAGTACTTCTAGTATCCATATAAATCGCAACGGGGATAGAGGGCAGCCTTAATCACTACACCTACTCACAGAACCCTAACTGGAAAGGCAATCTGAATACAGAGCAGCCCGTACTAATAAGCTTGAAAGCTTCACGAGATGACGCACAAGACAGTTTCTGTAAGAGGGAGTAACTTTACCTGAGATCGGACATAATCCGCAACACTGAAAAATTTAAACCAAGATAAGGCCGGCCAATTCCTGCAGTCTGGGGCCCTCTCTCTATTCTTCAGGAAAATGCAAACTGCAGGGGGAAGATAGCATCTTCACCTGAAGGTTTCCAGCAACGTTCCCTCTAAGCCAAGTTAGTGTGAGCCAGCTCACAGATTTTTAGCCTCCGGCTCACACATTTTTGTCTCGGCCCAGGAAGGACAGCTCCAGAGCACACTTAACTGATGCAGTCACCAAATCGCTCGCTCGCAACTTTAATGCCAGTCGCTCACAAAGCAGAATTTGTGCTCACAAGACTCCCACAGCTTACAACGGGGAGCATTGGTTTCCAGCTGGAGACAATCAAAACTGTGTATACAAAAACAAACACCAAAACCAAAGGGCGGAATGTCTCAGCCTGGAAATCCTCCGCCCCCTTCCCCCAAAAATGACATTGGTGGCGGCCTTTTGATCATACCTTGTGTCATGTGGGCAGCGGCTAGAAAGGTTCTCGTGGCTGCCACCACTCTGGTACGGGTCTCCTCGGGGAGAGCACCCACCCTACCCCCCTTTGTACACTCTTTTCCCAACAAGGTTTCCCTTTATAAGTAGGGTTGCCAAGTCCCCCCGGGGGGTGGGTAAACCCCTGCCTGAGAGGCCCGTTCCCCGCTGGCGGGGATGGGGCCGCGGGGGGGACCCCACCCCCAAAACACGTGACGCGCCCGGCGTAAACATGTAACTCGGAGGTGACGCAATCGCATCAGGCACATTGCGGGGGGGGGCTCTATCGAATGATTGTGGCCCCGCCCCAACGTGCCTGATGCGATTGCGTCACTTCCGGGTGACGTGATTGCGGCGTGCGCGCACGGCAGGAGACTCCCGGGGATGTCCGGGACTCCCCCTACTTATAAGTGACTGAATGAGGCGTGAGAGGACCCAGGTAGAATAGCAAACTTATTAAAGAGATTTAACTACAGAAGAACATAAGAGAAGCCAAATGTTGGATCAGGCCAATGGCCCATCCAGTCCAACACTCTGGTCGGAAAAATGAGGTAGGTAAACCAGCAAAATAAGAAACCCTAAAACATCTGACTATACTGTCCCTAGCCCTTCTCTAGGTATTCGGCCTCAAGCTGACTCACCCCTTTTGGACGAGGGACCCCTCCTTCTGCAGCAGCCTCCCACCAGCTCTGCTACCTGGGAGTGAAACACGCTCCCGCTTTGGGCCGGGCCTTTTATCCCTTCTTCCCAGGCACCCCCTGTGCTGGTGCTGTTTTCCCTCCAAATCCCGTGTTAGCCAATCACAGGGTCCAGAGGGGACCTGGGAAATGTAGGCTCTGACAGCTACTCCAATACAGGCTTCCCTGGAGCCACTAGGCCTCCCTAGAGCCTGTAGGCCGCACTACTACAGGCCCAAGATCATGACACCTCGATTGAAACAGCTGGGTCATTTTTGTATGGCTTTGGGCCCCGCGAGCGGTCACAAGTGCCAGTTTTTAAGAAAAGTAGGATAAAAATAAGACTTGGAGAAGTGCATCTAAAAATTGCCCAGCGTTCTGCTAATAGAAGTTTCTTTGTTGAGGTGACAGCCACATATGTTTTAGGCTGATTTTGGCCAAAATACTGGCTTCCAAAACAATTTACAAGAAACCAGACATGTGTACGTCTACCAGGTGCCTGCTTTCTGCCCTCCCTGCCATGAGCCCATGAATTACAGGTGGAAACTGAAGTGGGGGGGGGGGGGTTTGCTTTTAATGGGCCAGAAAAGAACATAAGAACATAAGAGACGCCAATGTTGGATCAGGCCAAGGGCCCATCCAGTCCAACACTCTGTCACACAGTGGCCAAAAATACCAGGTGCCATCAGGAGGTCCAGCAGTGGGGCCAGGACACTAGGAGCCCTCCCACTGTTGACCCCCCCCCCCCCAAGCACCAAGAAGACAGAGCATCACTTGCCCCAGAGCCCCTATCTATACCTTGTGGCTAATAGCCACTGATGGACCTCTGCTCCATATGCTTATCTAATTCCCTTTTGAAGCCGTCCATGCTTGTAGCCGCCACCACTTCCTGTGGCAGTGAATTCCATGTGTTCATCACTCTTTGGGTGAAGAAGTACTTCCTTTTATCCATTCTAACCCGACCGCCCAGCAATTTCATGGAGTGCCCACGAGTTCTTGTATTGTGAGAAAGGGAGAAAAGTACCTCTTTCTCTACCTGCTCTATCCCGTGCATAATCTTATAAACCTCAATCATGCCACCGTGTGCCACAGAGCAGGGGGGGGTTCCCCCTGGCTGCTTCCCGCCACTCACTGTACACTCAGGAGATTATCCAGGAACGGGGATATTGCAGCAGAGAAAGTAGAAGCAAAGATTTGTTCCAATGTTTTTATTAAAGTAAGTCTTGAGACAACCACAAGGGTGCCTCATGCCGAGCGGGTTTTCCAGAAATATGGAGCAGGCAACAGGAAAACCTGGGAGTCCAGACTGCCTGAGGCTTTACTGGAATGACACACTCGGTGGCGAATACACACAGAGCCAGACAGACCCCTCCCATGGTACAGCCCAGGCAGGTCCGGAAAAGGAATCCCAGTTTTGCGAGCAAAACAAACGCCTTGCCATCCTGATGCCAAGTTCTTGACAACTGTGGAGACACTTTCAAGCTGCCAGTTTTCCCGGCTGAGTGGAACATTAAGCTGAGTGCCAGATACTCCACTCCTCAAGAGGTCTAGAAGCTTGCATGCCTCACGATGTTCAGCTCATGTACCACCCACGCCATCTTGGCTTTCCTCAGAAGAAATACCACAAACATGTTTCTAGGCAGGTAAGCAGTTTCTTACTGCAGAGCGCAAGGAATTTCTGATAGCCTGCAAGAAACAGAGGAAGCATCAAATACTGATTTATAGTAAGTCACCTGCAACGTTGTAAATTGGCCCTTTTGACAGAAATGGCCAGCTTTTTGTTACACCCACTTTCTGTTCGCATGAACTAAAAACCTGGGAGTCCGCACACTTTTGACAGGACCCCAAGCTTCCCAGTAATGTATTTTACTCACTGTATTATCTCCCACCTACTTAAGACTGGGCTGAAACACAACGCGTGGCACAGGACAAGTACAGAGGCGGCTTTAATATGAAACTAGATTTCGCAAAAGTCAAGTTCCTAGTCCCTGTGGAAGCGCAGAAAAATCTGACAACACAAAGGCAACAGAGGCAAATGACTCAGAAAACGCTAAAGAATCTTTGAACAGGATCAGGCTTACCTGTTGACTGGGGGGGGCAACAAATACTGGTACTCAAATACAGGGGGTGGGATACAAACCAGTTTTTAATACGTTGGCTATAACCAGATGGACTGCGGGGATTGACAATAACACCATGGTGGAACCTGTGCCCTTGCTTCTACACCTGTGAAATACCTGTAAACTAATGAAAGTACCATGAAAAGGGAGTATTTCCAAAAGGGAAGTGCTCCTGTTAAGGGCTTCCCTCAACTTCCTGCTGTTCCCTTAACAGCCCAGTTAAGCCCCAGCCAGTGTTCCCTCTAAGCTATTAGTGTGATCTAGGGCACAGTTTTTTAGCCTCCGGCTCACACATTTTTGTCCTTGCTCACGAAGGATGGCTCCAGAGCAAACTAATTGATGCAGCAGCCAAATCGCTCGCTCACCACTTTAATGCCGGTAGCTCACAAAGTGGAATTTCTGCTCACGAGACTCCACAGCTTAGAGGGAGCATTGCCCCCAGCCTTATCCAACTAAGAAAGAGGCACACAAGTGCCAGTCTGCTCTGCTCCCACTGCACCTTCTTGTCAGAACCCACAGCCAACAACGTAGTACACGCTTATCAGGAAAGGTAATACTTTATTGAAGAGCTATAGATGCATTAACATAGGCACTGTTAAGAATGGCGGCTGCCCTTGGGGCATAATAGGATATATGGTATTCATATACACCCTCCCACTGCCCTGGCCAATTAGTCACCCTCCCGCGTGCGGGATAAAGAGCTCTGGCCGTTTAGCGCTGAAGCTGGGAACCAAACTCTCTCCCATGGTTCCCAAGAAACCCAGACATCAACATCCCCACCTGCAGAACTTGTAGATAAGCATTACAGCAGCAAAGAAGCACAGAAAGAATGCACTGGCAATTAGAATGCAACAAACCTCCACACCTCTATGGCAGCATAGCTGACACTCAACACCGGAGGAGCGATCACAATATAGGGTATTCATATGCACCCCCCCCCCACTGCCCTGGCCAATTAGCCACACTCCCGCGCTCGGGAGAAAGCCCTCCGGCCGTTAGCGCTGAAGCTGGGAACCAAGCTCGCTCCCACGGCTCCCTTGAAACTAGACATCAACATCCCACCACCTGCACAGAAGGAATGCAACGGCAATTAGAATACAACTGACCTCCCCAACCCCCGTGGCAGCATAGCTGACACTTCTGGTCCAATCTAGTCACACGAAACAGGGAGGGAATGGGAAGGAGAATCTGTGCCGTGACTCATCTCCCATTTCCGCATTCTGAAGGCTAACAATCTTGCCCCTGAGCTGGATGCCCCAGGCTAGCCTGATCTCGTCAGATCTCGGAAGCTAAGTAGGGTCAGCCCTGCTTAGTCCTTGGATGGGAGACCACCAGGGAAGTCCGGGGTCCTGAAGCAGAGGCAGGCCATGGAAAACCGCCTCTGAACATCTCTGGCCTCGAAAACCCTAAGTCAGCTGCAGCTTGACGGCACTCCCCCACCCCAGCCATCTTGCGTGTCTCTGCCTCATTACCTGATGGAGTAAGTCCTGGTTGCTACTGCACCAGCCGGTAGGTGATGTATCGGCCAGCGGTTTCACTGGGACGGATTATCTTGACCACCTGGGAGGAAAGGGCAAGGAGAAGATTCAGCAGACTCGATCACCGAGCCGGCCGACAAAGCAGACCGGAATGTAAATCTGCCAGTGATCAGCCACGATGGCCAAAATGAACCCTCTGCAATCAGGGGCAGTGTACCAGATGTCAAGCCAAGCAAGGGCTCTATCAGGAGTCCACTGGCTTTCCAGAAGACATCCGTCCACTGTTGACTGGCCTAGGCAAACTTTTGGTCCGTCAAAGAAAGTTAGGTGTGTTCTTGTGAAATATCTATTTTGCAACTTTAATTCTGCACAAGGTTAGGGAAATTACAAAATGAGGGACTGGGCCCACATTTTAGTATCTCTGCTTTCATCTAAAAGTGGTGGTGGGGGGGAATGCACAAAATCAAGGAACTAGTTCTCGTGACAAAAAAAACAAAACAGGCTGAAAGTATTTGGGCAAAATGTGGCAAAAATTTCTAAGTCTCAGATGTTTCAGAGCATCTTCTTCAGCCTTCCCCTGCGATGTGCAAACACTACACAACTCAAACCTGCATCAATTTTGCAGGCTGTGGAACACAGGTGGTGCTTTATGGACATCAGAGCATGTGCAGCCTTGCTTGGGGAGAAGAAGAGGAGGAGGAGACTGGATTTATACCCCGCCCTTCACTACCCAAAGGAGTCTCAGAGAGCTCTTGACAGAAACTGCTATTTTTTCAAGAACAGCTCTTATCAGAACTAAGGCTTGCCCAAGGTCATCCAGCCAGGTGCAAGTGGAGGAGTGGGGAATCAAACCTGGTTCTCCCAGATTAGGGTCCGCGCACTTATCCACTACACCAAACTGGAGCTGCTGCCCTTTCAACCAAAGGCCCCCTGTCACGGCTCAGGTGGGGTGTGACCTGATGCTGCCACCACTCTGGATTCCAGGCTCCTCTGAGAAGGCCCAGAGCACCCTCCCAGGCCCTTAGGCCTCCCTTTTGGCCGAATAACAGGTGTGAGGACCAGGCAGAGTGAACAATGAAAACAGTTTATTTGACAGGAGGTCAAACAAACAAGGTGCAGAATAATAACAGTAAGTGGGTGAAAAGAAATCAAATGGGAAATCAAATGTCCCTAGCTCACTGTCTCAAGTGGGCCTCAGTCTGCTCTAGGGTTGCCAAATCGTTCTCGGCCGGGAGCAGGGGGCTCCCGGCCGGCGTTGGGGCTGTGCGCGTGTCACCCGAAAGTGACATAGGCACGCTGGGGGCGGGGCCATACAAGGGAAAACCATAGTTTTCCCTTGTATGGCCATGGCCCCGCCCCCAGCGTGCCCAGTGTGCCTACGTCACTTGCTAGTGACGCGCACGCCGGGGGCGGGGTTCCCCCGGGCTCCGATTCCGCCGTGTCGGAAATCGGGGCTTCAAAGCGGGGGATTCCACGCCCCCCGTGCACATTTGGCAGCCCTAGTCTTATCACTCTTCCTCTCAGGATGAGGATCTCTTCCCTGCAGCAGCGTTCCTTCTGGCTCTGCTCTCTTGGAAGAACAGCTTTTCCTGCTGCACCAGATCTTTTATTCCAAGCCCTCCTCTTTTCCTATTGGTCAACTTTGGCTCCAAAACCTCTCAGGGGCTTCTGGAAGTTGTAGGCCCAGTTTCCCTTACAGCTAGCTAGGCTCCCTGGGCCTAGTAGGCCTCTGGTGGCACAGCCCAAATCATGACACCCCCGATGGAATAAATGCCACTCCCTAAAGGAAGCCACAGCGGGAAACTCAAGACACAGCAAAAGGAGTGTCAACCCAGGTTCGAATCCCCAGTCTCCCCTGGAAGCTTGCTGGATGACCTTGGGCCGACACAGCGAAAGGAGAGTCAACCCAGGTTCGAATCCCCAATCTCCCCTGGCCAGTCATGCACTCTCCTCCTAACCTACCTCACAGGGTTGTTGTGAGGATAAAACAGGAGAGAATGACGTAAGCCACTCTGGGTCCCCATGGAGGAGAAAGACTTAATATAAGTGCAGTAAACCGCTACCTGTAGCACCTGAACCCCTTACCTGGCCACGCTTGATTCCAAAGTACCTGGCCACCGGGTCCCCGGCCTGGATCCGAGGAAGCTGGTTCTCCCTCAGCTTACTGGGAAAGAGAGTCAAGGAAAAAGACGAACCCTTACTGCTTCTGCCCCCAGATGGGCATGGCACGTAGCGTTTACTGTTCTATGACCCATTCCCTTCCACCACCTCCCCTTTCTCCTCCTCTCGCACACAACTCAGAAAGGTGTGCGGCACCAAACATGAAGGGGGCAGGATGTCCATGTGTACAGCCTTGGTAACTCCATCTTTGTTACAGGCTGGGTGATTGCGGGGATGGCGCCGAGCCGCTCCCCAGAGAATATTCCTCTCTCTCTCATGCCGGTGAGCAGCTCTTACCTAGGAAGCCTGATTCGTTTTCTCTCACCACTAGACGCTAGGTGTGAGATGGCCTGGCTCATTCCAGTGTTTGGGGCGGCTTGATTAATGGCTTTTTGATTCGCAGCCTGCAATGACGATTATTATTACTGATGACGATGCAGGGCTCTGGGCGATGTGCAACCACAGATAAAACAAGATAAATTCACTTACAACATTAGTACAACATTTAAAGACAATCAGGCTGCGTTCAGACTGGCAGTTCGCCCCGGCAGCCAAACGTTTCAGGAGCGGATTAAAGGGGTGGGTTCACACAGGTACATGTTTCAGGGGTCCCCCAGCCGTCCTCAAGCCGTCTTGTGCCACTTCCCTCCCGAGTTTAAAAGATACGAGGTGAAATTGGTAGCAAACTGTGTGTAGAGCGGGTTGATTCCGGTTCCCTGAGTGTGAACACAAGCGCTGCTAAGGCGGGAACAACCCACAGTCATTGATAATAGGCACCGGCTGTTTCCGCGGGCAGGCGCCATTGGCACCTGCGCAATCCTGCCCTATTTGCTGCTGTGCCCAGCGTGGAAACAGCCGCTAACAGCCCGCCAGGGTGGCCCAACAGTGCGAACGCTCCCTTGCGCTTCCTCCACGGTATCCTCCCGCTTCATTCGCTGCGGTGTGAATGGGAATACCGTAACCAAGCTGTTCCAGGTTTGCCACGACTCCCTAGCGCTTCAAATTGGCCGTCTGAACTCGGCCTCAGATGGCGAATAACCAATACCCATTCCAACTCCCACTGCTGGGCACTTCATTGATGGGGGGGGGGGCTGATGTAGACAACAGAGAACGGGAAGGGCGCCAGCCAAGATAAAAACCGTCACCTGTCCTCTGCCTTGCAGGCCCTGCAGAACTGCATCAGATCCCACAGGGCCATGATGGGATTTGGCGGAGAGCCCCACCAGGTTGGGGCCACGACTGAAAAGGCCCTGGCCCTGGTTGAGGGCAGCCGGATGTCTTCAGAGCCAGTACAAGGGGCTTAGTTTTCGCGAGGCACCTCGTCTCGGATTCTGGCGAGCCTCGCTGTACGTGTCTGTGCTTGAGGCCCAGCAGACAGGAGCGTAGCCCGCCATTTCTGTAAGTCTGACGCTTTATTAAAAAATCTTCTTGTAAGCGAACCTGGCTCTTGAATATCGCTTCCTTGGGATTTCTGTGAACTCTGGAACGCCTGTCCAGAGCCCCAGGCCCTAAGATGTGGCTTGTCCTTTTGCTTCCAAGTTCTGGCTTAATCCTGGCTCAGAGGGAAACAGAGCAGTTCTGAGGTTTCAGTATCATTTTAAACCACTGCTGCCCCCCAAAGGTTGTTCACGAGCCCTCTGCACAGGACCCTTCAGTGCATGGGTGGGAGTGGGCATGAGCACACTGGCCCTGCCTGACGGCCGGCCGGCTCACGCCCATGTCACCTATGAGTGGATAAAGCGCACACGCACACGCCTATGCTCACTGCTAGAGACACTCCTGGGTGCAAGGGAGAGGAGGGCCGTTCCTGCTCCCTGAACTCCTTTGAATGGCGATGCCAGGGATTGAACCTGAGAACTCTGGCATTCTAAAGAAGAAGAGGAGACTGGATTTATACCCCACGCCCTTCACTACCCAAAGGCGTCTCAGAGTGGCTTACAAACTCCTTCCCCTCCCCACAACAGACACCCTGTGAGGTAGGTGGGGCTGAGAGAGCTCTTGACAGAAACTGCTCTTTTTCAAGGACAGCTCTTATCAGAACTATGGCTTGCCCAAGGTCATCCAGCAGGTGCAAGTGGAGGAGAGGAGGAATCAAACCCGGTTCTCCCAGATTAGAGTCCGCGCACTTAACCATGACACCAAACTGGCTCTACCACAGCGCTCTGGCTAAAAACAGAACATCATTTCTGCTCACGCAGAATACCTGAAGCAGAATCCCGGTCCACCTTCTGCTCCATACAGCGGAAGTCAGGGATATTTAATTGGTGGGATTTCACTACACAAATGGCTTCGTCAACTGCCTTCCAGCAAGATCCCATCAAGTACCATTAGCGATTGAAGATGAGGGTTCCTTTGTGCGCCCCAATCACCATGCGATGGATAGGCCCCTGCAAAGAGACCCTTCGCCACGGTAAGCTTTTTCTGGATTATGCCCAGAAAGCCTGCCCATGGGCCCTTCCCAGAATACACACATAAGCCAGGTGAATGCAGAACTTTTAAGGAAGAGGATACTATCTGGCAAGTAATTCTGTCACTTCTTCCTTGGTCATGACCACGTGCTCAGGAACCAGCTGCAGAGGCAAAAACAATCATCCAGAGAGTGATAAAAAAATATTAGCTCAGAAGAGGGAACACGCAACCTCCTAATTCATAACTTCCTTAGTCAACTGCAGTGAGTCAAAGTCACTTCTAGGTGTTTAGCTTCGGACGTTTTTGTGGACTGGAAGAGAATCCCACCCCCTGCCGTCTGCTAATGTGTCAGACACGGGTGGTCATGTAACTTTGGGGATCTTGTTGGTACAGGGAGTATGCCCAGTACCACCTTACCTCTCCCAGATGCTCTGCAGCACACAACACAGGGTAGATCAAAAAAAGCAATGATTTTTTTTTTAAAAAAGGGTAAAGATTTTTCTTACAAAAAATGATACAAGCATGGACGGCTTCAAGAGGGAATTAGATAAGCATATGGAGCAGAGGTCCATCAGTGGCTCTTAGCCACAAGGTATAGATAGGAACTCTCAGGCTGGGGCAAGTGATGCTCTGTATTCTTGGTGCTTGGGGGGGGGGCAACAGTGGGAGGGCTTCTAATGTCCTGGCCCCACTGCTGGACCTCCTGATGGCCCCTGGTATTTTTGGCCACTGTGTGACAGAGTGTTGGGACTGGATGGGCCATTGGCCTGATCCAACATTGGCTTCTCTTACATTCTTATGTCTGGGGCAAGGGATGCTCTGTATTCTTGGTCCTTGGGGGGTGGGCAACAGTGGGAGGGCTTCTACTGTCCTGACCCCACTGGTGGACCTGATGGCACCTGGCATTTTTGGCCACTGAGTGACAGAGTGTTGGACTGGATGGGCCATTGGCCTGATCCAACATTGGCGTCTCTTATGTTCTTATGTTCTTTAGATGATCATGCTTTCAAAATAACCTGGTTTAAAGTCACAACTGAATGAAATACAATCATTAAAGTTATAATTTATATTATATAGCCCCAAGAATACAGAGCATCACTTGCCCCAGACATAAGAACATAAGAGATTATGAAAGTCTTTACCCTTTCGTTTTATTTGTATATTCTTCTGCAGGCCACCCTGCACAGTGGTTTTAAAGGGGAAAGGCACGATAAAGATGTTTAAAGAAATATAGGAATGAGCGCATCATGCCTTAAAACTGAATCCAGCCCTTTCTCAAACTTGCCAAGTTGAAGCCTGCTCTGCTGTGCAAGTGAACCAATTTGTAGCGTCACGCTTGGAATCTGGAGGTCGACCACCTCATATACCTGTGGAACTCGTGAATCCCCAGACTGCCTGGACTTCCCACCTCTTGCATAGGCAGGAGCTGGCCAGCAATTACCCACGAGGAGACTCACCGGCATGCGACTGGTCTTTAGTGTCCACTGAGAGCGCCAAGTGCTGTTTCAAGTCACTAGCATGATCCTGCAAGGCTCTTCCTGAGCTCTTATACATTAAAACATCAGAAGAGCCCTGTTGGATCAGACCAGTGGCCCATCCAGTCCAGCATCCTGTCTCACACAGTGGCCAACCAGTTCCTCTGAAGGGCCAATAACAGGGCAGAGAAGCAGAGGCCTTCATAAGAACGTCAGAAGAGCCCGGCTGGATCAGACCAGGGGTCCCTCTAGTCCAGCACCCTGCTTCACACACTGGTCAACGAGATCCTCTGGAGGGCCAACAACAGGGCAGAGAGGCCGAGGCCTTCATAAGAACATCAGAAAAGCCCTGCTGGATCAGACCAGTGGTCCCTCTAGTCCAGCCTCCTGACTCACACAGTGGTCAACCAGTTCCTCTGGAGAGCCAACAACAAGGCAGAGAGTCCGAGGCCTTTATAAGAACATCAGAAGAGCCCTGCTGGATTGGAGCATCCTGCCTCACACAGTGGCCAACAACAGGGCATAGAGGCCAAGACCTTCCCGAGGCTGCCTCCTGGCTCTGGGATTCAAAGGTTCAGTGCCTCTGAATGTGGAGGTTCCCCTCAGTCACCATGGCTAGTAGCCACTGATAGACATCCTCCATGAATCTAATTAATCCCCTTTTAAAGCTGTTTATTCCTGGGGCCATTACTACATCCTCTAGCAGCCAATTCCACATTTTAATCACTCTCTGTGTCAAGTAGTATTTCCTTTTGTCCGTCCTGAACCTACCGCCCATCGGCTTTCATTGGATGCCCTCAAGTCCTAGTCTTTTGGGAGAGGAGGAGAAATTTTGCTTTGTCAACTCTCTCCACCCCCTGCGTGTACATGAGACAAACGTCTTCAGAGGGGTCTACTTCTGCTCCCGGCCCTAAGTAGATCTGCTGCTCAGAAGGCATGGAGGATGAATCCGACACCTCCGGAAAGCCGTTATTTAAATTATTGTGCTTGCTCCGGACCTATTCTGTTTCCGAGCGGCCCCTCCGACTCACCTCGTGTTCTGTGATGTTGATGAGGAGCTCCTGTTGAAGGAACTGCTCCAGGATGTACTTGGGAGCCATGTCCACCAGAGACTGGAGAGAGAAGAAAGCGGTCAGCCAGTCAGTCGTGCTTAGGCAGAAGAGAAGAGCTAAGCAGTTAGGGATCCTGGTGGAAAGAGATGCGTTTATGTGCTGGCGGAAGGTAGCACAGGGGATTTATCCTCTGGTTAAACATCTGAGCTGAACAGGACTGCTGTCAGTTCGAGCCCCGCACTGGTGTGAGCTACCAGCCATGTCCCCAGCTCGCTGTCCACCCAGCAGTTCGAAAGCTTCGGCGAGTAGATAAAATGGGTACCACTCCTTAGAGGGTGGGCACACTTAACCCCCGGTGGGGAAGTGTTAGCCGACAAACGGAAGGTCCGCACGTGAGCTCAAAAGCCAATAGAGATCTACGCAGCACCTAAGAAAAGCCTGCAATGGGCCATTCCGGCCAGACGGTGGCAGTGGTGCGCTGCGACCAGGAAAATGCTGACGACATCAAGCAATGCTGCCGGAACACGTCTAATGCTTACAGCTGACCAAACTCCCTGTCGACTGCGAAGTGTGTGTGATTAAAAATGATATATGTTGTCCTCACCCCCATCATTGCTGGTCCCGTGTCAATACATGAGTAACTGTAAATCGCTCAGAGCCGGCAGCTCTGCAAGGACTGAGCGATCAATAAATTGAAAGATTATTATTTATTATCTGGCCTTCACTGCAAGCCAGCTCACACGGCAGATGTGAGGCACACCATTGCCTGTATCACAGGACTGGCGGCGGGTTTTAGAGAACGCCAGGCGAGGTGGACCTCTGCTCACGCACAGAGGCAGGGTGCTCCTCTGAGGATGGAGCATGCCTCTTTCTAGGACCATTCTTGTCAGTCCCACCGGAACCAGACAGAGCCAGGGGCCACTCCCATCGGGCCATTCCCCAGAGAAGTCGGGGGGGGTGTCACGTCTTTAAGGCCTAAGTTTTTGCATTTGTCAGTAAGTTGTTAAGTTGTGGCTGGGTCATGTAAGGCCTACAGTGTTATCAGTTAACAAGCACCGGCTACAAATTGCCGGCTGGCTTAACAGCAGCCAGCTGGAAGCTGTCAAAAAAACCCAACATGACTTTCTAGATCTTGACAGTTCTCAGTCTAGATGGCGTGATCTAGATCCCGATCAGTCTTGTCAATTAGTTCATGAGAGCTGGATAGGTACTTAGCCAGGAGTCAAGGATAGCTAAGCATCCGATCGGACAGAACCAGGATTCCGGGAGACGCCAGGACTTTGCAAGAGAGATACATACACCCTCACAGGCAAGATGTCGGGAGGTGACGGAAGGTGGCTGCCGTTCAAGAGCCGGTGGCCTGGAGGAGGACGTGATTATCCTTGGTGAGCTCTGCTTTAGCAACTGCTGCTGGAAACAAGCTGCTCAGGGTCAGTGCACCCGATAGAGAGCTAGGTTTGTTTTGTTGTCTTTGTTCTATGTACACACCCTTTTCCCCTACTTGTAAGTGTTACTGTATGTTATATTTTGTAAATAAATCTGATATTGGTTTAAGCCAATTGGAATAAGTTACTGACTCAAAAGAACCCACCACAGCCACGCTGTCAGAGAGAAATTAAGGCACTACCAGAGATTTCCCCACCACCAAACTGGTTTGAACATCCTAGACCTTAAGGGATAGGCCCCTGGGGATGTGACAGGGGGCCGAGTCCAGTGTCGGCAGAAGGCCTCCCGGGGGGGGGGGGGGCCCAAACCTGAAAAGCAGCCGGACCCTCTCCGATGACACCCACAGGAGCTCATCTCCTGGCCCTGCAGCAGTTACTGGCAACACCCTGCCATGCACGCGAGCAGCTGTTGCAATGGAGCCCTTCTCTGACTGAGAGAACCAAGGCTAGAGGAACTCGCACTCGGCGCAGTCCCTAACCACTAAAGCCTTGAGAAAGACAGGAGCGCTCCGTCTATGAATGTCAGCTGCTTAATGGGCCTTTTGTAGGACCAGCAACAAACATCAATTTAAACTTCAATGTAACCACAAAAGAAAACTTCCCCCTTTAGAAGACTTTCAAGCAAGAAGAAGTGGGTGTACAATTCTAGAAACTCCCGTTGGGGCTAATTGTGTAAAAAGGATGTAAATTGACTGGTAGTTATTAGATTGTACAAACTGATTATTATTGTTGAGTTTTAGAATATTATGAATAATACACAATGCACTTTATACGATGGAACATATAGAACATTTTAACTTATAAAAAGGGTTTTTGCAGTGTATATATTTGTTGTTTGACCCTCCCTCAGCACAGACAGACAAGGCGGCATCCCCTGTAATGCCCACCTCTGACCAGCGGTCAAAGGTCCTTCCCATTTCGGTCAGTCCTCAATCCCCTTTACGCATTTATTTATATCCCGCTTTTCACCCCCCTCGAAGTGGGACTCAAAGCGGCTCATAGCACCCTTCTCCCAATCTCGCAACCCTGTGAGGTAGGCCAGGCTGGGACAGACCACAGCTTCCATGGCAGAAGCAGGGATTCGAAGCCGAGTCACCTAAGGTCCCCTACTCTATCCCCTACACCACACTAAGATCCCGACACCCAGTAATAATATCCGCAATCACAAAATTTCGATCTAGGGCATGAGTGGTTGCGAACATGGATGCAATCAGTTCCGCCCAATATCCATAGCCTGATAAACACCAACGTCACATAAAGTATGGCTAATAGAAGGCGAAGAGGCTTGGGCAGCCCTGTTGTCTAAAGGGGGTAAAATGCCAGGACCCAAATGCAATTGTGGTGCAGCCCATCAGACTAGTTTCCATCTGGCACAGGAATGTGAGCATCGTGCTTTCCAGGGAGATGTGACGGAGCTCTTTGAACTCTCCCCTGCTGCGACTGAGCAGACTGAATATTTAGATATTAGGATTTAGGGGGACTGCCCAATCAGTCTGTATACCCGTTGTATCAACCTAGTTACATATTTTATTTTTTTATACACTCCCTGCACGTAACATGGGCTGTCAAATGCCTGTCAGGTGTGCGTGCAGAGCAGGTAACTGCCAACCGAGGCCCATGGATGAGCTGAAGGGGCCACATGGGAATGGGGAGTGAAAGACAAAAAACCTCATTACTCTGTCAGCGAGGGCCTGAGCCTCCAAGGGTGAGAGAGTGAAGGGATCCTGTCTAAGAGCCTGATTTTAGTATCAGCAGGCTGAAAGAGCAAATGTTTTCAGACAGGGTTTTCCTGGAGTGGGCCAAAGGAACTCCTCTCTCAAGAGCTGTTGCGGAGCCTGGCTCTTGGGGTAAAGCGAGCTAATTCCAGCGAATGCCTAAAAGATAAGACTGCACTGTCTCAGACTCTGATTTTCAGGGACAGCAAGCTACGTTACTGGAATGTCCAGAAGGAGCTCACTGTTACACTGTGAGGTTCCTAAGGTTGGGGAAATGCGAAAGATTCACCTCAGGAATCAAAGCTTGGCTTATAACAGCTCACCGCACCTCTTAACTGAAATGTTCTTTAACTGTAAGAGTGCAGTAAATGGTAACTGAAGAAGTGAGCAGTGACTCACGAAAGCTCCTTTCCCTGCCACAAATTTTGTTAGTTTTTAAGGTGCTCCCAAGGAGCTGCGGTGGCTCAAGTGGTTAAGACGCTGAACTGCAGGCTGTGGAAGGTCAGTAGTTCAGCAGTTCGAGACCCGGGTGCCGCATGATGGAGTGAGCTCCCATTCTCTAGTTCCAGCTCCTGCCAACCTAGCAGTTCGAAAGCAAGAAATTGCAAGTAGATAAATAGGTATCACTCCGGTGGGAAGGTCACAGCGTTCCGTGCGCCTTGGTGTTTAGTCATGCTGGCCACATGACCACGGAAACGTCTTCGGACAGCGCTGGCTCTTCGGCTTTGAAACGGAGATGAGCACCGCAACCCTAGAGTCGGATTCGACTAGCTTTCGAGCAAGGGAACCTTTACTTTTACTTTTTAAGGTGCTCCCGGACTCTTTTCTACTGCAGTAAATGCTGTGCGTGATACTTGTATATAGTTATGAGCCCCTTTACTGAACTATGTCATTTCATCTGACAATATCAAGTTATTGGGGGGGGGGGTGTTCTGTTCATCTCAAGTCTCAGCTTTCAGAAGACGCTTAGGATTACCAGGAAGCGGACTGAAAACAAATCAGCCAGTATCAGAATGCCCCTGTCTAAATCATAAGAACATAAGAGAAGCAAATGTTGGATCAGGCCAAAGGCCCATCTAGTCTAACACTCTGTGTCACACAGTGGCCAAAAATACCAGGTGCCACCAGGAGGTCCAGCAGTGGGGCCAGGACACTAGAAGCCCTCCCACTGTTGCCCCCTCCCAAGTACCAAGAATAAAGAGCATCACCTGCCCCAGCATCACTCTGCTCCATATGCTTATCTAATTCCCTCTTGAAGCTGTCCATGTTTGTAGCCGCCACCACCTCCTGTGGCAGTGAATTCCAGTGTGTTAATAACTCTTTGGGTGAAGAAGTACTTCCTTTTATCTGTTGTAACCCGACTGCTCAGCAATTTCATGGAGTGCCCACGAGAATCAATGGTGCAGCCTCATTTGGAATACTGTGTACAGTCCTGGTCACTACACCTCAAAGAAGATATTATAGCATTGGGAAAAGTGCAGGAAAGGACAACGGAAATGATTAAGGGGATGGAACACCTTCCCTATGAAGAAAGGTTAAAGATGACAGGGCTCTTTACCTTGGAAAAACGACAACTGAGGGGTGACATGATAGAGATTTAAAAAATCTTGCATGGGACAGAGAAGGTAGAGAAAGAAATGCTTTTCTCCCTTTCTCAAAATGCAAGAACTCATGGGCACTCAATACAATTAATGAGCAGCAGGCTTAGAATAGATAACAGGAAGTCCTTCTTCACCCAAAGAGTAATTGACACGTGGAATTCACTATCACAAGAAGTGGCATAGGCATAGACAACTTCAAGACGGGATTGGATAAACATATGAAGCAGAGGTCCATGAGTGGCTGTTAGCCACAAGGTATAGATGGAACACTCTGTCCGGGGCAGTGATGCACTGTATTCTTGGTGCTTGGAGAGGGGGCAACAGTGGGAGGGCTTCTGGAGCTCTGGCCCCACTGGTGGACCTCCTGATGGCACCTGGGCTTTGGCTACTGTGTGACACAGAGTGTTGGACTGGATGGGCCACTGGCCTGATCCAACATTGGCTTCTCTTATGTTCTTAGGACCTCTCTGTAATGTGGAAGCTGGGGTAGAGACCACACTGGTCAAGCTACACAGCCTACTACCTCTTTCTTAAATGGCACGTAATGCCCCAGCTTTCACGCCACCCCCTTCAACCCGCCTGGAGCTGGGTACCTGCTTGGCTGAGGGCGTCATGCCCTGCTGCACAACAATGAGAGCCCGGGTGATGTTTTCTTCCTGCATTCGCTGGCAGTACATCTTGATGGTCTTGATCCCAACTTTGGGTTCCTCTGGAGCAGGGGAGAGAAACAAATACCTCACCAAGCGGGAATGCTGACATAGTCACAGGCAAGAACCAAGTTCATGTCTTCACAAGAGCGTCTAAATTTCATTTATATTAACCAATTTTTTAAAAAAAAAATTGGGGGGGGGGGACTGCATCTTGTTTCTGAGCGGAGAATAGACGATTTTAGAGAACTGCAGGAACATCTTGCCGCTGCTAACTAGATACGTTTAAGTTCTCGATCCTTTTGTTTTCTGCTTATATAACAGCAAGATGCTAGCCCTCACAATTGTGAAAACCTGCCCAAAAGTATGTTCGGGAAATCATTTGAAACTAAGGGGGAGAGAATAAGAATTTCTAATCACTGGGGGCACGGCTATAGTGTCCTCACCCCCACCAGAATTATCCAAATCTGCTTAAAATTAATTAGAATTAAAACAAATCTGCTGGTCTGTTATCAGAATTCAGATATCCTGAAGAGGATAACAGAAACAGTCCCCAAGAACCAATATAAGGGTGGAAGGAGAGGACAAAGGAGAGAACAGAGAGGAAGAAGATGGGTATCAAGGGAACAGAAACATATTAAGAGGCATAACAGTTTTTTTAGTACTAGAGATGCACAGAACAGGCACTTTAAAGTTACAACTCTGAGGTTGCAAAATCCAGCTCCAGTTCCAAATAAATTCATTAGAGGGGAGAAAGTGAATGAAGGAGACAACTTGACCAAAGCAGCAAGCGGACACGATGGTAAAACAGCAGTTCCAAATTGCCACAAAGGCATCACCTGGGAAGAACACGAACATCTGATCCGTGGGGTCGTCGTTGTGGGCCACCAGCACAGTGAGGTCCGTCCGCCGTGGCCTCCCCTCGCTGGGCTTATCCCCAAACTGAGCTTTGAACTCATCCAGGGTCTGGTCCAACTCATCCTGCGTCACCAAGTAGCCTCTATCATGACAAAGCTAGACATTTCAAAAATTAAAAAAAAATAATATACATATATATACATACATACACACACACTGAATCTCCATTGACTCCAAGGCACGCTGCAAGTCCAGGTGACTCTAGAAACTGAGCACACCTCTCCTATGCTGGCGCACAAAGACTGCAAACTGTTTACAGGACGGTATTCCATGCCAATAAAGGCTACCTAAGGCCGGTCACGGGGGGGGGGAGGCATGGCTAATTGCCCCGGCTCAGTTTGATCTGCGGTTACGCGATCCGACGCGCCGGTGGCACACCACGGGTCCTTCCCTCGGCGCCGGCGGGTAACCAAGGGTGGCGATCACACAACAATCCTGCAGCGCGGCAAAGAAGCGGCACGGCGTAATCACACCAGCAATGGCTAGGCGCCGCTGCCGTGACAAAACAGGGCCATTTTTTAAAAAAGCCGAAACGGCACTTTTGCTTTCTTCTTTGTGCGCATGCGCCGTTGGGTGCTTGTGCACATCTTGTGGAGACTTGGGGGGGGGGAACCTGTTTGCGAAGGGACATGGGCAGGCGCCGGATGCCACCACCGGAAACGTGATCAGACGCCAGCCCTTGCCACGCGGTTTCCGGAAACTAGTACCTCGGATGTATTAGTTTTTAACTCCGCATCTTCGGCGGGAAGCCTCGGGTTCGCCACGGGAGCTCTACGTTTCCCAGATGTTGTGGTGTGATCGCGCCTGGAAAATCCGCCTTTCTTCCGTCTCTGTAGCGTGGCTAATGCTCCCTGTGACCGCAGCCTAACTTAACTTACAGCACAGTGTGGAGGAGGGCAGTGCTCAATTTCCAAAGTCACCTGGACTTTCAGGAGTGCTATTAACATGTTGCACAGCACGATCCAGTTCTCATTCTTAAGTGCGGCATGCTCACTAGGGGAAGAGCCAATGAGCAGCGATGCTCTAAGGACCAGCAGCCTACAATGTCTCCTCTACCACCCAAAGTCCAAATCCTCCTGCAAATCATATGCCCTCCGGGCACTTGGTTCAGGTGGGCAGCCATGCGGATCTGAAGCAGCAGAACCAAGTTGGGAGTCGGTGGCACCTCTAAGACCAACAAAGTTTTATTCAAGCTCTAAGCTTTCGCGTGCAGGCACACTTCTTCATCGGTACCCAGCCTCCCCTCCGCGCCCTCCGGACCTGCATGATGGTTTTCCGGATCTTCCACAGCCGGTAGGTCTCCTCCTCGTCGTCCATCGCCTCCGCCGGCCTGGCTCCTCGCGCTAGCAACGCAGGAAAGCAAAAGCGTCAGTGCGCAGGCGTCAGACGCACGCCGAGAATACTCACAGAGTACACATGCGCAAAACGCTAGCCGGAATGCACGCAATTACGCAAGAAACGCCCCCCTTGAAGAGCTGTAAACAAAACGCGAACGGAAGGCGTTACTTCTGCGCAGGCGCTGTACAATGATACGCATCCCCTCCTCTCTGTTCTCCGCACGCGTCGTTACATCATCGCTTCCTTGCTACTATAGAAACGCCGCGATGCCAGATGGGAGTTGTAGTATCTGCGCGCTAAGGGGGGGGGAATCGTCATTTTTGCTCCTTTAGCTTTAATTTTTTTTCACAGCAAAATTCAGAACACTTAAAAAAAGGAAGCAATTACATACCCTTTGTATTTTAACTAGTTTCTATTTTTGAAAAAAATCTAATAATTCATTATCTAACAACATTATGGGGTGCTGTGGTGGCTCAGAGGTTAAAACGCTGAGCTGCTGCTGACCGGAAGATCGGTAGTTCAGCAGTTCGAGACCTGAGTGCTGCCTGATGTCTTTGGCTCAGCGCCTGCCAACCTAGCAGTTTGAAAGCAAGAAATTGCAAAGATAAATAGGTACCGCTTCGGTGGGAAGGTAACAGGGTTCCCTCTGCATTTAGTCATTCTGGACACATGACCACAGAAATGTCTTCGGACAGCGCTGGTTCTTTGGCTTGGAAACGGAGATGAGTCGGACTAGCTTTCGAGCAAGGGAAACCTTTCACAACATTATACTAAACATGATGTATATAGAGCTTAATAATATGTTCAACAATAATGGGAATGTTTTTCAGTGGAAAAAAATAAATACTGGAAAGCTTCCCCTCCATACACACCTCTGTTGCCAGGTTATCAAAAGCAACCTTCCTACAGGTGAGGAATTTGTATGCGTTTAGTACATTTGAGCGCCGAATAGATACTTTTGAATTATGGTGCTGGAGAAGACGCTTGAGAATTCATTGCACTGCAAGGAGATCAAATCAGTCAATCCTAAAAGAAATCAACCCTGACTGTTCCCTGGAAGGCCAGATGCTGAAGCTCAAATACTTTGGCCATCAAAGGAGAAGACAGAGCTCATCGGAGAAGACCCTGATGCTGGAAAAGACTGAAGGTCAAAGAAGAAGGGGACGGCAAAGGATGAGGTGGTTAGACAGTGTCATTGAGGCAACAAACATGAAATGAAGCAATCTCTGGAGCACGACGGAAGACAGGAGGGCCTGGCATAATGTGGTCCAGGGGGTTGTGAAGAGTTGGACTTGACTGTGCGACTGAACAATGACAACACACCTACTTATTTAGTACGACTATTTATCCTGTTCTTTCTCCAACGATGGTGTCCATTGTTCTTCCCTTCGTTCTCACAACAACCCTGTGAGATAGGCTAGGCCAAGCAGTGTTGGCTGAAGGTTACCCAGTATGTTTCATTGCAGAATGGGGAGTTGAATTAGGGTTGCCAGCTCCACCATAGCCACTGGTGGGGGATGAAGGGGGAAGGGTTTCCAGGTCCAGGCTGGAGCCTGAGGAGAACTGGGACCTCAATGGGGCACAATGCCATAGAATCCACCCTCCAAAGAAGCCATTTTCTCCAGGGGAACTGATCTCTGTAGCCTGGAGATTAGGTGTTAATTCCTGGGGATCTCCAGGCCCCACCTGGAGGCTGGCATCCTTAATTTGAATCCTGGTCCCCCATCCTAGTTCAGTATTCTAAGCAGTATACCACATTGACCTCTAGAGAATCGTGGCTGTTTTCAATTTCATTTCCAGTGCTCCAGGCTATGCATTGCTCGTCTTTAACTCCCCCTCCCCCTGCAACAGTGGTATCATGAGAAAAGCTGCCAGGTTAGAGGCACAGGGGAGAGGGTACAGTACTAAAACTGCAGGTAGTCATGATGGTCCATTAGGGAAAATCCAAAAGCAACAATTAGGTGTAGTGGTTAAGTGCACGGACTCTAATCTGGGAGAACCAGATTTGATTCCCCACTCCTCCGCTTGCACCTGCTGGATGACCTTGGCCAAGCCATAGTTCTGACAAGAACTGTCCTGGAAAGGGCAGTTCTTGAAAGAGCTCTCTCAGCCCCACCTACCTCACAGGGTGTCTGTTGTGGGGAGGGGAAGAAGTTTTTAAGCTGCTCTGAGACTCCTTTGGGTAGTAAAGGGTGGGGTATAAATCCAATCTCCTCCTCCTCCTCCCTCTTCTTCTTCTTCTTCCTCTTCTTCCTGAACAGATCCAGTCAGTCCCAAAAGCAAAAGTCAGTCCCAAAAGCAAAATAAATAGCACAGTGCAAACTTTCGCAAGTTCTCCAGAACTCTTCATCACGCCGGAAGCTTGCGTCCCGTCGCAAACAGGATGTTTTTCATAAGCGCGTGCGCACAAACATGAAACTGAAAGTAGTGCTGCTCCGTGGAACTGCGCATGCGCACAAACGCAAAACGCCGGTGTGATCATGCTGCGCGGCTTCTTTGCCACACTGCAGTATCACCGTGTGATCGCAAGCTAACAGCCGCAGCACGAAGACACGGGGGACCGTGTGATCGGGCTACCACGCTTTATTTTGCTCCGGGGCAAACAGCCACGCCTCCCCGTGTTATCTGGCCTGTGTGACCGGGGGCCCAGAAACACAACCAGTGAGGCTTCTGAAGTGAGCAGGAAAACTTTATTCGAACAAAGGAGAACCCAAGCATCAAAAGCCTGAATGCCAAAGAATAAGTAAAGTTACAAGATTTTTATGACCACGCACAAACAACTTTTGGATATGAGTAGATGTCAATACTTTTACATAAGATCACGCACCTCTCTACCCTGTACATGGCTATCATCAGGAATTCATCATCTGTTTTTCACTTTCACCTTCCACCGATGAATGATCTCTTACATTCCTTAGTTGTTACATTTATTTCAACTCTTTATCAATACTCCCATTAGTGACTTCTGCTTTCTATCAATATTTGGCCATCCAGGTAACTCCCTAGAACTCTCAGTACCACTCTGATTGGCAAGGGAGGATAAAATATTATCTTTGACCATTAAGCAACCTTTCTAAATTATGGTACCTAGCACAACTAGGGTGGAGCTCATTATCTTACATACCATATGGTGGAATTTCTACAGATGGGCAGGGGGAGGAATTTTCCGATTGAGCTGCTATTTCTAACCTTCAACCAGAAACTCAACACGGAGTTTCTTTGGTCCTTTTACCACAGTAGCCGTGTTAATTTGTCTGTAGCAGTAGAAAAGACTAACAAAATTTGTCTTCCTGGGAGAGTTGTGGATCTCCGTTACCACGAAAGAATCTGCCCATGCAGTAGTTTTGCTTCCATGTGAATTTTATGTCAAAATACAGGATGTCTTAATTAGCCCTATTTTGAATAACAGACATATAGCCTCTCAGAAGTGTGGCTTGTGTGTTTCCCTTCTCTTATCGAATCAGCGTTCCCATATTACCCTCTCAATAGCGAGGTTCCTTCTGATCGCTATGAGAATCAGGGGATATAAGATTAAAGTTCTGGAGAGATGACTGATTTTGATTGCACTCTGTGTACCTAAATACTGGTTTTATTTGATTTTAATTTATGCCAATAAAGGTACTGACTGACTGACAAAATTTATGGATGCAGATTTTGTTAATTCTGTAAGGAGCTATTGGACTCTTGCTCTTTTCTTCTGTCTCAACAGCAGCCCCGGAAGCACTGTTATTTTAATCTGCATAGCCGAGAGCCAGTTTGGTGTAGTGACTAGGAGCATGGACTCTAATCTGGGAGAACTGGGTTTGATTCCCCACTCCTCCACATGCAGCTGCTGGTGTGACCTTAGCTCAGTCACAAGTTCTTTCAGAGCTGTTCTCTCAAGGGCAGTCCTCGAGAGAGCTCTCTCAGCCCCACCTACCTCACAGGGTGTCTGTGGTGGGGAGGGGAAGGGAAAGGAGATTGTAAACTGCTCGGAGGCTCCCTGGGGTAGTGCAGGGCGGGGTATAAATCCATTCTCTTCTTCTTCGTCTAGCCAATCAGAAGCACTGCTGGGCAAAAGCCCTACCCTGCCCCACCCACTTGCTAAAAATACTTGGTGCCCAGAGGCACCCCATTAGGAACCCCACTTTAAAGGCTGAGAGCAAAAAAGAAAAAAAAAGTCTTTATATTAACAATCCTGGAGACTAATTTTGGTTGATGCGCTACATCAAGAGATCACGGAAGCCAAGTTATGTTGGTATTACCTGGTGAAACTGCCCAAGTTATTTTTCTCCCAGTTCTAGCATCCCTTTCTTGGGCAGCTCAGTTCTCAAACTGGACAAAGTAAAGCCGCTCGAGGCAGAGTTAAGGTGAGCTAGCTCACAGTTTTTTAGCATCCGGCTCACACATTTTTGTCTCAGCTTAGGAAGGATGGCTCCAGAGCACTGTTCCCTCTAAGCTGAGTTAGTGTGAGCTAGCTCACAGTTCTTTAGCCTCCGTCTCACACATTTTTGTCTTAGCTCAGGAAGGATGGCTCCAAGCAAACTAATTTATGCAGCAGCCAAATCACTTGCTCACAACTTTAATGCCAACAGCTCAGAAAGTAGAATTTTTGCTCACAAGACCCCACAGCTTAGAGGGACCATTAAGCCATGTAAAACGAATAAATACCCTTTTTTGGAGAACCAGCCAAATAACACAGTATGTGCACATTTTTGGGGTTCTCCAGAACTCTCCATCTTGCTGGAGGTTTAAGGACAAAAAGAAAGGAAAAGAAAAAAGTAAAGAAAAGGACATGGGCACTTCTGTTTTTTCTGCGCAGGCAAAGAGGGCCTCCCGATACCAACCACACCTTGCGTCCATTGAAGTCAGCAAAGAATTCTACATATTATAGTGATCAGGGGTCATTTCATAGGAAAAGCGTTGCAGGAGCTCATTAGCATAACTCATTAGCATAGCTTGTTTGTATATGCCACACCCCCTGACATCACCAGAAATGTGTCAAAAGGCCCACTGCTCATGCTCCACTGGACTTGCCTTGCGTCCATTGAAGTTAGCA